TCATCCAGCTCCACACTGTGTAAGGACAGCAGTTTTCTCCCTCAAAATGGCATTAGTAAACCAGATGGACGATCAATATGGTCATCATTAGACTCTTAATTCTAGACTTTTATTGAATCAAATTCCAAAAATCTAACATGGCAGGATTCAAAAATTACCTGGGTGTCTGGATGAGTATTCAAGTGATAATACCACCAGGCCAACACTTGTTTAAGGGTTCCTGCCTCCATCACCTTTACAGACAGTGAGTTCCAGATTCCTACCACCCCCTGGGTGAAAACATTTTTAGTCTTATCCCCTCTTTCACTCTAGCCTTTTACCTTAAATCCCTGGTCATTGATCACTCAAACCCAAATGGTAAAGTTTCCTCCTGTCAAGGCCCCTCATAATTTCATACATCGCAATCATGTTCCCTCCCACTCCAAGGAAAACAACCCCGGTCTGATCCAATCTCTCTTAGAATCCCTACAGTGTGGAAACAGGCTCTTTAGCCCAACAAGTCTACATTGACCCTCATAGCTTCCTACTCAGGCCCATCCCCCTATAGCCCACCTCAATTTACACATCCCTGAAAACTATGGGCAATTTAGCACAGCCGATCCACCCTAACCTGCACATCTTTGGACTGCACTCGGAGGAAACCCACGCAGACGCAGGGAGAATGTGCAAACTCCACACAGACAGTCACCCTAGGGTGGGATCGAACCCGGGTCCCTGGTGCTGTGAGACAGCAGTGCTAGCCACTGTGCCACCCTAGTCTTCGTCACTGAAAGCCTCGAGCCTAGTCAGTCACTTTGGTAAATCTCCTCTGCACCCTCTCCAGTGCTAGCACATCCCTCCAATAATGTTGATGCCAGAACTGCACACAATACTCTCGTTGTGACCTATCCAAATTATGCCCCCCGACTTTTCAACTGACATTTTGTTTGAGGAAGGTGTGGGAGAAGAACTATTCCGGAACGTTCTGATCTATCATCGACATTTCAGTCCATTAGACCCTAAGATTTGGGGCAGAATTGGGCCATTCGGGCCATCTAGTCTGTTTTGACACTGATAGTAGGAATTGCTGATGCTGGAGAATCTGAGATAACAAGGTGTAGAGCTGGATGAACACAGCAGGCCAAGCAGCATCAGAGGAGCAGGAAAGCTGACGTTTCGGGAAGCGGGGAGGGGAAGGGGATTCTGAAATAAATAGAGAGAGAGCGGGAGTCGGATGGAAGATGGATAAAGGAGCAGATAGGTGGAGAGAAGACGGACAGGTCAAGGAGGCGGGGATGGAGCCAGTAAAGATGAGTGTAGGTGGGGAGTTAGGGTGGGGGTTGGTCAGTCAAGGGAAGACGGGCAGGTCAAGGAGGCGGGGATGAGGTTGTAGGTAGGAGGTGGGGGTGGGGGTTGAGGTGGGAGAAAAGATGGACAGGTCAAGGAGGCGGGGACGAGCTGGGCTGGTTTTGGGATGCGGTCGGGAGAGGGGAGATTTTGAAGCTTGTGAAATCCACATTGATACCATTGGGCTGCAGGGTTCCCAAGCGAAATATGAGGTGCTGTTCCTGCAACCTTCGGGTGGCATCGTTGTGGCACTGGAGGAGGCCCAGGATGGGCATGTCATCCAAGGAGTGGGAGGGGGAGTTGAAATGGTTTGCGACTGGGAGGTACAGTCGTTTGTCATGAACCGAGCGTAGGTGTTCCACAAAGCGGTCTCCAAGCCTCCGCTTGGTTTCCTCGATGTAGAGGACGCCACATCAGGAACAGAGGATACAGTATACCGCATTAGCAGACGTGCAGGTGAACATCTGCTTAATGTGGAAGGTTTTCTTGGGGCCTGGGATGGGGGTGAGGGGCGAGGTTGAGGGGCAGGTGCAGCACTTCCTGCGGTTGCAGGGAAAAGTGCCAGGGGTGGTGGGGAGTGTGGAGCGGACAAGGGAGTCATGGAGAGAGCGGTCCCTCCGGAAGGCAGATAAGGGTGGGGAGGGAAAAATGTCCTTGGTAGTGGGGTCAGATTGCAGGTGACGGATTTTGGAGTAGATCTGTAGCTCGGGTTGTGGGTGTTGAGGTTGGTTGGCTCGCCGAGCTGGTTTGTTGTTCCGCAGACGTTTCGTTACCGTGCTTGGTAACATCCTCAGTGCAGCCTCTGATGAAGCGTCGGTGTGTTTTCCCGCCTGTTTTTTAAACTCTGGGGTCCATTGCGATGATTGCCTCACTTCCGGGTTTCCTCTGTAGTGGAATGTATATGGGGTCGAGTTCAATGTGTTTATTAATAGCATGCTTCGTGGAGTGCCATGCTTCCAGGAATTCTCGTGCTTGTCTCTGCCTAGCCTGTCCCAGGATCTTGGTGTTGTCCCAGTCGAAGTCGTGGTTCTCCTTGTCCATGGCGGAGGATGACGCGTTGGATCCGGAGGTTGGTGGGGTGGTACGTGAGGACGAGGGGGATTCTGTTTTTGTTGTTATTGCGGGGAGGGGGTGTGAGGGATGAGTTGCAGGAAACGCGAGAGATGCGGTCGAGGGCGTTTTTGACCACTGTGGAGGGGAAGTTGCGGTCCTTGTAAAACGAGGACATCTGGGATGTCCGGCAGTGGAATGCCTCATCTCGGGAGCAGATGCGGTGGAGGCGAAGGAATTGGGAATAGTGGGTGGCATTTTTGCAGGAAGGTGGGTGGGAGGAGGTGTATTCTAGGTAGCTGTGCGAGTCGGTGGGCTTGAAATGGATATCGGTTTCCAGGTGGTTGCCGGAGATGGAGACAGAGAGGTCCAGGAAGGGGAGAGAAGTGTTAGAGATGGTCCAGGTGAACTTAAGGTTGGGGTGGAAGGTGTTGGTGAAGTGGATGAACTGTTCGAGCTCCTCGTGGGAGCACGAGGCGGCGCCAATACAGTCATCAATGTGACGGAGGAAGAGGTGGGGGATGGGGCCAGTGTAGACACTGGCAACTCATCCCTCACACCCCCTCTCCCCGCAATAACAACCAAAACAGAATCCCCCTCGTCCTCACGTACCACCCCACCAACCTCCGGATCCAACGCATCATCCTCCGACATTTCCGCCATCTGCAATCTGATACTGAGTTCTCTTTGTACCCCTTACTGATCAAAAATCTATTTCTGTATGAATTCGCTCCAATGACTTGGCTTCCTTCTGTCGGTGTGATAAATGATGTGTTCACTTGAAGTTATTATCATCATCATCATCATCACTTCTACCTTCTCAAGACCAGAAGACATCACCTGCAATCCCCGCCCCAATCCCATCCCCCTATTGGTCGTCCACCGACGTGAGTGCCACCGGCCTGAGCCAACCGGCGTGCGGGACTGGACCATGACGGTTGGTCTGATCGGGGACACCTAATTGGACGCTTCGCCCGACCGTCCGCTGTTTCCATTGGACGTTACGGCCATCCATCAACAGCCTCAGTGACGCATACAGGACCGCATCTACGATTGGATAGGAGGAGCGTCTGTCACTGGGCGCGCCCGCCCCCGCGGCCTCTGATTGGGCGGCCCCTCCCTGCCTAGCAACTTCTTGTCTCGCAATATGCATTGGACGAGATGTTCGAAGGTTAAGGGAAGCCTCGCGCCGTCACATTGGACAAAGAGGGGCACCCCACCCGCTTAGATGACGGCTCCCGACCCTGGATTGGACAAAGCAAATGCCCATCAACGCTCGGTACGGCGCTTTCCTGCGTCCTATTGGTCTAGACGGACGCCCATCACATTGTCGGCGTCGACTCCCGAGCTCCGATTGGACAAGGTGGTCTCTTATCAACGTGTTCTATCCGCTCGGTCAGGGCAGTCACGTGACAGGGAGAAAAACAAAGATGGCGCCCCGTGACCGATAACGAGTCAACGGCGGCTGTTGTTGTTGTCTTTTTATGGGGGCGGTGTAGGTTGTGCCATGGACGCCATCAATACTCTCTTCTCGCAAAGCGAGTCTTCCCTGTTGGGCACCACCTCGCCGGCCATGAGCTCGTTCGCTAAGCAGCAGCAAGCAGTGTCGGTACCTGGAGGAGGCCCGGGCCCAGGACCGCCGCCAGCTGCTGCGGGGATGGACGACCCGCTTCGGAAAACAGGCGGGGCCGGGGGCGGAGTCCTCCATGACCCCTTCTACATCATGAGGGAGTTACCAGGTAATAGCGTCTAATGGCGTGGGCGCTCGGCCAATAGGAGGGCTGGCTTCTGTGGGCGCTCGGCCAATGGCGAGGCTGGCTTCTGTG